ACGATTTTGTGCCGCCAAACATTTGAATCGAGCATGTCACTGCAAGTCACCACAGGTCACTGATGGAGGACTTCACGGGTACTGCACACAGCAGCTCTTCACTGGAGGGACTCGACACCAGCAAGCACGCCACTGCGGGGGAGTGTTGACATCACTGTTCCAGTGTCAATGCTTGCTGAGTCAGCAAATTCTGCTGTAAACGTTTCTGTGCACGTGCGCCCAGAAACGGGCGTTTCTGGTTGTTTTGCCACGTGGCACTTCTCTCTCTCTCCTCCAGTTTTCTGTCTATGTGTGAGAGTGTCTCTCAGTTCATGTTCATTCATCCTACATCCTTGTTTGCTTCACAACTCAAGTAAACACACACAACTTCCCCTTGCCAAGACAATCTCCCACACAACACACAGCACACTCTGCACACACACACACACACACACACACACAAGTCTCCAACAACAGCACCATCACCATGAACTTACAACACTAAAGCCCCTACGGCTTCTGCTCTCGTATTCGTGTTTCTCCCTGCTTGTTCTTTCTGTGCACTCGCTCATGCCCTTTTGTGCGAGTGTCACGTTCGTCTTGTTCATTCTTTTGTTTTACTGTTTGTCTTCGACAACGACCCCAGTACACAGCCCATGACCTTACATGGTAGCGATTGCACAAAGTCCACCGACCATTGAGTGATTGAGACCCTACCTTTGCAAACCACAACACACCGCTTACCCACCCCAGCCAAACCTAGCAATTCTCGCTCAGCCGCGCCTCTCGACACACGACAAGATGGACTTCGTTTTTCGCAAGTTCTCGGGATCGAAGACCGAGGACGTCCATGACTGGGCCGACGATACCAAGCTCCTGCTGGAGGTCGCCTCCGCGACAATGGACGCCCGCCAAGTGAAGCTCCATCTCTACCTGCAACTCGACGGGAGAGCCAAGTCCTTCGCCAAGGAGTTCATGAGTGACTCCGCAGTCAAGGCGGACGACCTCGTGGACAAGATCGTCGACCGCTTCCACAACCCATCCCGACAGCTACAGCTGGTCTTCGAGCTCCGCGCCATCAGGCAAACCAAGGACGTTCAAGCCTACAACGGAGACTTCAACCGCGTGGCGGACCAACTGTCGGAGCGGAGCGAGGTCTTCCTGCTGGCCTTCTACCTGATAGGACTCCACCCGACGATTCGACAAGTGGTATCGGTGGCCAGCCCGTCGACGCTGGTTCAAGCAATGAAGATCGCCGAGGACGCGGACCGAGCCAAGGATGCATCCGGGACCCACTTCGCGCGCCACACGTCAGTCTCTTCAAACAGCACCTCCAAGTACCAGGCAAGCAAGCAGGCCCCGCGACGTGATGAAGGACCACGCAAGCGCCTGCCACCACTGACACCAGAGGAGCGCCAGCGACTGATGGCCGAGGGCGCCTGCTTCCGTTGCCGCAAACCCGGCCACGGCTATGCTCAGTGCCCGGGAAACGGCCCGCTTCAGTGAGGGGGCGCGTGACCCTCCTGAAGCGGACCATCCCACGCGAGCCGCCACCCGTCACAACGACAACCCCAGACACACACACACACAGACACACACACAGACACACACACAGACACACACACAGACACACACACAGACACAGCGTGCAGAGATCTACACGCGCACACGGACACAGACACAGACACAGCTATAGCGTGCAGAGATCTACACGCACACACGGACACAGACACAGCTACAGCGTGCAGAGATCTACACGCGCACACGGACACAGACTCAGCGGCAGAGTCGTCGGACTCAGCAACCATGGACCCAGCCACTGCCGCAGCACACACAGCATTAGCCACGGTGGCAAACCCAGATGCGCAAACAAACGCAGACACAGACACAGACACGGACACAGACACAGACACAGGTGCACATACAGACACAACCGCACACACAGTCACGGACACAGCTACAGCGTGCAGAGACCTACACGCCCACAGACACACAAACGCAGACACAGCGACGACGCCCACCATAGCAACAAGCGCGGGAGCAGATCCGCACAACGTCACCGACCCACAGTTACCGTTTCCCTCCAGTGTCTCGTGGAGGCCACCACCGACAACCGTGCGGAAGCCTCGACGATCCAGCCGCCTCGCGCAAAAGGCGTACTTGCGAGCGTGGCAAGACAACCCACTGCTGGTGTTGTAGAGTAGTACGAGGAGTGTGTGTGTAGTGTGTAGCTGGGTGTGCGTGTACGATCGATCTCGATATGGGGTGATGGTGTATTGGTAGGTGAACTTGCAAGGCAAGAGGAGATAGAAAAGAGAAGGAAGAAGTGACAGGTGGCAGCGGAGCAGGTGGGGCCAGATAGGTCAGAGGGAGCATGCAAGAAGGGTGTAACGATCAGGAGTCAAGAAGAGGAAGACAAAGCAGGAGAAAGTCAGTGCAAGATATGCATGCTAATCTATTAAAGGTCTTGACATCATCGATGACGTCGGATTAAACCAACCCGCATCGAATCCTGTGGTGGAATACTGCCACAATAGCAGTGCTCCACTACAGCTGGCCATGACGAGACAGCCCCCACCGAGCCTCCGCAAGGAGCAGACCTCCCGCCGCGCGGGCGCTGCACGACCAGGGCGCCGGAACGGAGACAGCGATGGGGAGGACGGCCAGGAGTACTCCGCTATCACCCTCACCGTTCGCAACGCACCCACAACAAGAAGCCAGCCACCGACCAACTACCTCAGCGCGGTTACCACAGCATCAACCCCGGCCTACGTTCCCCAACTACGTTTTCGTGCAACGATCAACGGTGCCCCATGCAACATCCTGTTGGACTCGGGGTGCACAACCGACGTGGTGGCCGAGGAGTTTGCCTTGAAAAACCTTAGGGTGATACAGGTACACCAAGACACACAGGTCACGTACGGAGACGGATCCCACGTCTCCAGATCGAGCATGACAACGGCTACCCTCAATGTGCAAGGCCTGACGACGACGCGGGACTTCCTCGTGATTCCAATTGGGGGAGTCGACGCCGTGTTGGGCAGACCTTTCCTCAAGGACTATGCAGCACGCGTTGACCACGTCAACGATCAAGTTCACCTAACAGACCCCACCAACCCACGACAACCACTGCGCAACCCAGCGCCCATGGAGCACAAGAACACAGACAAGGAACTGGCAGGCGGCGTCATCCTCCGAACAGCATCAGAAACAACACGGAACGACCGCGACAACGACCCAGCGCTGTACCTGATTGTAGAAACACGACAGGTGGTGTGTGTGTTTACTGTAGGCAAACGCAACAAACAAGAACACAAGGAGAATGAACAAGCACAACAAGCTGCTGCCAAATCAACTCGGGCAGCACACTCAAACAAACACTAGACAAGTGCACACACAGTTCACAACGCTGCCAAGGCGACATGGGCAGAGTGTGCACGAACACAAGCAATCTAAACAACGAACAGCATGCATACATGCGCGCAGAGCAATGCTAAACATGGCATGAATGCTTGCAGGCAAGCATACACAACAGACAACACTTCACAACACTGCATGGCACGCAGGCATGGCATTTGCCAAGCATGGCGAGCATGCACACACACACACACATGGCACACAACTCACGTGTGTAGGGGAAGGAGGAGAGGAGAGGCAGTTGGCACACATGCCAGCAGAGCGGAAGGAATGTTTGCCAACTGAGAAAACCACAAAGCAGGTGTTGTTGGCAAACAAGACGAAACCACACGACAAGGCAAATTAGGAAGGACTCAACACAAAACAGAAACGCACTCACTCTCAACACTCCCCCTCAACTGCCTTCTCTGCTCCGTCTCAGCCGTCGAGGTTCCCACCAGTCGTGGCAGGTGCTGCTCGAAGGTCTGCTTGTCCAGTGCCTTGGTCAGCGCGTCGGCAACCATCCGCGTGCCGGGACAGTGCTGCAGCACAATGGTTCCGTCGGCGATGAGCTCCCGCACGAAGTGGTGGCGTACCCGGATGTGCTTCGTGCGCGGCTTGGTGACGTGGTCGTTGCCGATGGCGATGGCCGCCTGGTTATCTGTCAGCATCTTGGTGGCTCCAGCCTCGGGCTCGCCGAGGTCCATGAGCAGCTGCCGCAGGAAGACGACGTCCTGCGCTGCAGCGGAGATGGCCATGTACTCGGCCTCGGCGGTGCTCAGCGCAACCGTGGGTTGCAGCCGGCTGCTCCAAGACACAAGACAGCCGTTGATGTAGCAGGTGAAGCCCGTCGTGGAGCGGCCCGTCAGCTGGTCTGTGCCGAAGCTGGCATCGCTGTAGCACACAAGGTCCAGCGGCTGGTCCTTGCGCGTGCCGCTGCGTCGCTTGAAGAGGAGGCCGTGCTCGCTCGTCGCCTTCAGGTACCGCACGACGTGCTTGGCTGCCTGCCAGTGGACCGTCGTGTAACGGTCCATGTAACGGCAGAGCAGTCCGCACGCGAAGCTGACGTCTGGTAATCTCCCACACAACACACTGCACACACTGCACACGCAGCACACACACACAAGTCTCCAACAACAGCACCACCACCATGAACTTGCAACAGTCATAGCCCGCGTGCTCATGACGTCATGCTCATACCAATGACGGTGAGCGCGTGGGAGTCATGATGGGGTATGTGGTCCTGTAGCAATATCGTGCACACGGCGAGGGGCGCAAGAATGATGTCAAACAAGAACAGCAAAGAATACAAGACATCTGCGCGGGCTCATGGTCGTTTTGATTCTCACAACACAAAACTGATTACATAGTTAGGCCAATACACTAAATATAGGACAATGTTGCCAAACAACATGTCGCAAAACATTCGCTGCCTCTGTTTCCGCAACCACCCCATCAAACAACGCAATCCCAGCCGCCGTGACACCAATGTCAACCACAACCAGGCCCCAAGCGCCCAGCAGGCACCGCAGGTGTGATTGCAGTCATCGCCAGCAACTTTACTCCATTGCGCAGTGGGCATAAGCATCGTTTTCCGCATGCACTGGTAAACAGCGCTGTCGGTGTGAGCGATGATGTGATGTGACTGCGATGTGAGCCAGACCTGCAGGCGGAAGCAGCACAGCTGTTGTGTGTGCCCATGCGCTCGCGACCGAGTTCATTTTCTACTCGACCTCTTCGGCACGACGACCACAGCGCAGACCCAACAGCTTCACTCAGACAAGCAAACAGAGGAAGCACTAGCATCGAAGGCCCTTACGACCGCCCGTCTAGCAAGCCCATCGCAACCCACCACCAGCACAGGGCCTCAACCAGCACCCAAGCCAAGTCACAACAGCGACGGAGCCAATGGACAGCACCAGCGCCCACAACGCCAACGCCAGCGGCGCGATTGCTGCGCCCTTGACTGTGAACGTGAGCGGCCCCGATGCAGCGAGCCGGCATGCTGCCATGGCGGACGTTATTGTGAGCGGTACAACGGAGGAAGAGGCGTTTTTCCTGACAGACCTTGGCGACGTGTGCCGCAAGCACAAGCGGTGGCAGGCACACCTGCCGATGGTGGAGCCGTTCTATGCGGTCAAGTGCAACAGTGATCCCGCCATCTTGGGCACGCTGGCGGCCTTGGGGGCCAACTTTGACTGCGCGTCGCTGGGCGAGATCCAGGCCATCCTCAACCTTGGTGTTAGCTCCGACCGCGTCATCTTTGCCAACCCGTGCAAGGCCATCGCTCACCTGCGCTTTGCGAAGCAGGTCGGCGTTCGCATGATGACCTTTGACAACGAGTTTGAGCTGCTCAAGATTGCCAAGCATTACCCGGGGGCCGCCCTCGTGCTTCGCGTGCTCGCGGACGACTCGCGATCTGCGTGCCGCCTCGGCCTCAAGTTTGGCGCAGACCCGGCTGTCACCGGCCACCTGCTGCAGCTGGCCCGCCAGCTTGGACTGGACGTGGTAGGGGTGAGCTTCCACGTTGGGAGCGGCGCCACAGACGCGCGCGCGTTTGCCGATGCGGTTGCACGCGCGCGCGCTGTGTTTGACGAGGCAGCAGCCCTCGGCTTCAGCCCGCACCTGCTTGATGTTGGGGGCGGTTTCCCGGGAGATGATCCCGCTGCGACGCCAGCGGCCGCAGTCCGGTTTGAGGACATTGCGCGTGAGCTCCGCAGCGCCTTTGCAGAGCACTTCCCGCCCTCGGCGGTGCCTGGTCTCCGCATTATTGCTGAGCCGGGCTGGTACTATGTTGCGTCCGCCAGCTCGCTGGCTGTCTGCATCACTTCCAAGCGCCGCGTGGTGGATGTGACGGCCACCACACCAACGGCAACGACGGGTGCGACGCCTACGACGCCTGCGAGCAACGCCACCCCCCACCCCGCCACTGAGCCGCCACCAAAGTTCATGTACTACGTGAATGACGGCGTGTACCAGTCGTTCAACTGTATCATCTTCGACCACGCGCGTGTGCAAGCGCAGGTGCTGTACACGGGCAACGGCGTGCCGGCCATGGACGACGAGCACCT